AATGCCAAGTTGTCATCTCTTTCATAAGCAGTTTCTTCCTGTCGTCACAACAAATTGCCCTCCTGAAAACTCAGATGTGCAGAACGCACCATTTGTAGATGATTTTCCTGGGAAAACCAGGGTTTTTCACATTTTTTGGATATGTTTACCCGAGGCATAGGCCAAATCCCGGCCCAAATCCATGGAGCATGGGATGCCAGGAGCTCAAAGACTAGCTCAAACCACCTGCGCCAAAGCCAGAGGCGAGTCTGGTGGACTATGGTGGACACGAAAGTGGAACGGCACAGTCCGATCACAGGAGTGTTTCACTACGTTTCACTAGTTCCAGAATTGATTTGAACTGATCACGGGGAAAAGTTGCAGGTCTAAATCTAGACCATCTAAACCATTGAAGCCCCATTGATAATTTGAAAAGAAGAAATCACATATAGTCTGCGAAAATGAGTTGGGGAAAGAACCTGAAACTTACGAAAAAATCAGAGTTTCCCCTTGTGAAAATGGGAAACTTCCAAGAAATCCACCAGAACCCGAGATGAAGAGTTGGGATTTGATGCCCTGGAGGTCTCCGACAGAAACCGCTCCCTCCGGCGTCCTGAAATTGGACACACGCAGCGATGAAAATCACGGAGAGCTGCAGATGCCAAACTTGCGAAGTCAAGGCCGTCAGAGTCTGTACTTCCACTCCAAAAAAGAACAGATCCATTGTTTGGATGATTTTGCTTGTGCTGTGATGCTTTTTGGTCCAAAGTCCAGCGGGAAACTCCGCGTTCAACAACATCAACCTGTATGAGCTTGAATGATCTGGGACGTGAGTGAGATGAGAAGCATACGAGTATTTCAAAAAATACTTGGATATACTTGGGTATACTCGGATATGCTTGGATATACTTAGATCACAGACTCAGATTGGCATCACGGATCTATAACACACTTCCTGGGGCATGTGAACCCGATCTCAGATCTCATCAGTGACATCCGTAAAGGTTCTGCTAAGTCGAGGCCACCTGATGGCAATGGCTGAAACACTTCCAACAAAGTATCTTTGAAGACGTTGAGGTCAGGGCTGAGCAGGTGAAGATGGTGAAGCTGCAGTTGGTTGCTAATTCTCAGAGGAAATGATGCGAAAGACCGGATTTATTTCCTCCGAAAAATTGAGCATCGCAAAGTTCACGAGCTCCACTGCCGTGATGTGTTTTTCTTTGGCGCCTTGCCACATGGAGCAGAGCTGAGGTGGGTTTTCCAGCTGATAATTTCTTGTGGGTGCACCTGTCATGTCGCTGAAATCTGTAGAAGTACAAGGCTCTCTGGAACTACATTTGAGATGCAGAGGAGCATAGAGGAGCTGTTGTGCTTTTCGCTGCCGTGGTGCGGCCTGGTGCCAACCAACAGTCACTTTGGACCTTGGATCCTGCGCTTTCAACATCTTTCAAGGCAGAAGCTTCCAGGACAGTGGAATGTGAACTCTTGGGATTTGGAGGAAGAAGTTCTTGTGAGGATTGAATAGGCAGGGCGTGTCCTTTGAGAGAAGACTCGAAGACTCTCCGTTTAAAGTCTTGCGGTCGGACGCCACATGACGCTACAAACCCAAACTGGGCCGAAGGAAAATAATGCAGAAGAGCGACGTATGTTTTGTTTCCTGATCGTTCCTGATGCAGGTCATGCTTGTTTTGTGCGAAGTCACGGCAGTTGCAACTCCACTCACAAGACATTAAAGATTATCAAGGGTGTTTTCTGGTGACTTCTGCTGCTTGTTGCTGCTGCAGTGTTTGCAAGTCCAAAGTCCAGCGGGAAACTCCGTGTTCAACAACATCAACCTGCATGAGATTTAATGATCCTGGACGTGAGGGAGATGAGAAGCATACAAGTATTACAAATATACTTGGATATATACTGGGGTATATTCGGATATACTTGCATCACGGATTGTGCCTCAAATTGGCATGACACACTTTGACACACTTCAGACATGTGAACCCGATCTCAGATCTCAGTGACATCCGTAAGGGTGCTGCTGAGTCGAGGCCACCTAATGGCAATGGCTGAAACACTTCCATCAAAGTATCAAGACATCTCAGGACATCTCAAGACCAAATTCAGCATGGTCCGCATGGTTGGTTTATATAGAGCTTCCACAAGTTCTGAAAAAGTACAGACTGTCTCTTTATACGCTTGAAGCGGGCGAGAGCAATGGAGGCGTGTTGTCTTAGCGTCTTTCGACACCAGCAAGCTTTGGCGAGGCACACTGAACTTTGAACGGCACCTAAATGCGACTGCCAAATTACATGCAGCATCATGTACAAAAGGGCATGTCTTGCAGATGCCCACTTGCATAAGAGAGAAGGGCATCGCAACTGCTACTGCTGGTCCTTGAAAACAGTCTGTGCTGGGCTCAGAAGGCAAGAGAGCTGTGGCGAACGCTCAGCGTTGCAAACTCTTCTACACTCTGCTGCACTCCTGCACGAGAAACTCCCTTTGGTGTCAGTCTTCCTATCTTCTTCCGAAACTCCCGAAGAAAAGCAACTCGCAGTGAATTGGCTACATGTCCGCAGCCACACATATATAATATATATTGTTGATTCGTAAAATGAGTATTCAGGTACGGTCTTGCACTGTTCATGCAGAGTTTGGCTTTCAGTCAATGTTGTTTGAAGATTTTGCCCAGTTTGCCGAATTGATGGTCTCTGAGAGGCAAGTGCAGGCAGCAATACACTTCTGGTCCTTCCCAGAGGGCAGCACGTGCCACAAAAACATGTTCGAATTGTTTGGCAGACATCCCTGACTCATGATGATGGCTAGGGCGAGTGAAACAGGTGAGGGCTGTGCGACAAGACACCAGTTAGCATGAAGATCGGCCTGAAGCCAGCCACTGATCAATGTACACATGTGGATTGACATACACCCGTTTGGGTGGAGACTAAATGACTAAAGGCTATCGAGGCCCTCAAGCTCTCGCTTAGCGCCAGGAGATAGGTACAGTGCGTTTTTTGGGAGCGTAGCCTTTCTTGAAGACTTTTGTCCTTATTTTCTCCATCATTCCAAGATGGCGGATAGATCAACCCTGGACACATTCGACAGGTTGCTTCTGCCAGCAGGGTTTGAAGCAGTGCTCACGTTGTCCTGTGAAAAACAACACCGGTCTATCGCTTTTGGTCCGGTTGTGACAAGTTGTTGGAGATTTCCCGCGTTTGCCATTGCGAGGAAAAAAGGCATGAACAGTTCTTACTTCTATGATCTTGGTGCTGAGAAAGTGTGGTTCTGCATTCTCAGGCGTTCTCAGCATACTTTTCCTTCCCCGGCGTGACCTTGCAGCGAAAAACCGCGCTCTTTGACCGGCGCAGCGAGGAGACAGGACGCGCACGATGCGGCACATGCGCTGTCCGCTGTGAGGCTCTCAGGCTATGCCAAGACCGGCCGGTGGGACCCCGTGGGACCCCGTGTGACCTCGACGTTCTGAGATGGGCCGAGATGGGTCGAGACGGGCGCCGTGGTCAAGTGGCTGATGCCGGGCCAATTCACACGCGGTTCTAGTCCCTTGCCAAGACTGCAATTCTTGAGGTGAGCCAAAGATGCCAGTTTGAATCTTGAAACGATGACAGTTGTGTATCAGCCGTCAAGTGCGGTGCACTTGTCAGGTGACTCGGTATGACCAACGAGATTGCTTTGAAGCAAGCAAGCGGAGACTGGGATATCTCGCAGGCAATTGCAAATGAGTTGAAAAGGCCGTGGAATCGAAAGGGGCGGATGTGGCGATCTTTGGGACTGGTAAAGGGCTCATCCCTTCCAAGTTGGTGGGACTAGTGGAGTTGTGGTATATTTTTGTTTCTGCCGGTTGGAAAGGTTCTGGTTAGTGACTGAGCTGCCAAAAATTTCGGACTCAGCATGTTGCAATATCTCGTTTGCAATTATTTTTCGCAAAGAAGTTTCGATGTGAGACCTGGATTGTTTGGGGCCGAAGAAGTTGGAATCTGCAATTTCACCAGTAGATGCTGCAGAGACTTTCAGGACCAGCAATCTGTGGAATCTGTGGTTATCATTTCTTGCAGTTTGCCAGTGCGTCCTAGGTTTATTTTTAGAAGGTTCATTTCAAGGAAGCTTGTTGAAATGGGTCCAAATTCTCCACCACCACAACCAGGACGTTTTGTTTCATATAGTGGACATGTGCCCTCTGTTCGTTTGTTTCATCCACTTCACGACAAACCTTGGAGCTTTGCCAACACCGTGGGGCTAGAGCTTTGTGCCACCGCATGTGCAATGGCGTTGCCAGCAGGCGTCAGAAGGCAATCGGCGGCATGGTATTTTGTGTTTCTTGCAAGTACGTAGAAAGCCAGCCGCCTGTATCCCGCCGCCTCCGGCCGCCTCCCTCCTCCCGCCTCCCGCCGCCTCCGGCTCACACACAACTTGTCCTCACACAACTTGTCCTCACACATCTTGTCATCACACAACTTGCTCACACACAACTTGTCCTCACACATCTTGTCATCACACAACTTGTCCTCACACAACTTGTCCTCACACATCTTGTCATCACACAACTTGCTCACACACAACTTGTCCACACACAACTTGTCCTCACACAACTTGCTCACACACAACTTGCTCACACAGAACTTGTCCTCACACAACTTGTCCTCACACATCTTGTCATCACACAACTTGTTTGCATGTTGTTGGTGAGGTAGGTCTGGAACAAGCGAAGGACTCTGGAGTACTGTTCAACTTTCTCTGATCATATATACTCTCCCGTTCGTGGATATATCTTTTATTATTTTTATTATATATCTGGTGATCTGATATTGAGTCATGGCATGCACGATCGTTTGAATGCTCAGGACAATTGGCCTTTGCCATTTTGGACTCAAGAGAGTGATCACTTCCAGCCTGAAGGATTTTTCTGGCCTGCGGTGTGGCTTGTAGTTTCTAGGGCCTGGGAGTGATCACTTAGTATGGCTCAGTTCCCCCCTGCTTCTGCTTACCCTTCACCACTTGCTCGGCAGCATGCCATGGCTGCTCAGCGTGCTTCTGACCAGGTCAAGCCTGATGACAGTGCGAGTGGTGTTGGATCATGGTCGGCAGTTGCAGAAGGTCAGGGAACGAGCTCACAAGCAGGGGCTGCTCAGCCGAAATCTGCAGCTCCTGCACAGATGCCAGCTCAGACTGTTTGGGAGGAGGACAGCAGCGATGATGATGCGCCGCCACCTACGTTCACTATGGGTGGCCCTGCAGAAGCTCCTCCAGCCCCGAGCGGGCCGTCAGTCCTTCAGTGGGGCACAGCTCCAGCTATGCAGGCTGCAAAGAACCTGCTCGGGAACCAGATCCCAAAGTCTTCGAAGCTTGCCCAGCATGCCAAGGCCAAGGGTCACCGCTCGGTACGCTGGGGGCAAATGCCGAGTCAGAACGCTCTGAGTCCTCAAAATGTTCAGCTGCCACCCTTTGTTAGGCAGCTGGGATCGGGGAAGGACGAGAGATCAGTTCTGATCATTGACAGCAGAGACATGAGGATCACGAGCCCATTTCAGGGCTGGCTCTTGGACGAGATCCTTTTGAATGCCCAATCGGGTATCAACATTTTGTCAGATCGCCAGTTGCTGCGCTCGCCCAACAATGGCTACCACATGAATCTATTCTATGTGCGTGCCATGGTACAAGTTCATCCTGGTTGGATCAATGCCCAGCTATGGGACAGTGCCTTGCGCTCGCTGGGACTCTGCCACAGGGGGTGTCCTATCTCCTATCATATGCTGCGTTCCAGCCCTTCCGGTGGCCGCTCATGAGAGATGATTCATCCACATGGGTGGACGTGAAGGTCAAGATCGAAGGCCAGTTGCTGCTCCACCTGGAGATGAGGGGTTACCGCTCGAACCAGGACATGACGGTGCAGCTCAACTACATCAACGATGGGTTGATCACCTCCCTCCGGGACGAGCTCTTTGTGCCGGCGGTGGTGGTGACGATCTTCATCGGTTGGCGCGTGATCGCAGTGAGCTTTGAAGTGGGTGGCAGGATCTGTGCCTGCAGTGAGCAAGGGGTGGTTGTGGCCCTTGACTTCCCGCTCTGTCACTTCGAAGTCAGGATGTGACAGCTCTGTCTTCAGCTGATTCGATTGGTGTTGATGCCGACCGCCTGGAGTTCAGATTCCGCTCAGCTGGAGATTAAGTTGACGTGGCATGCTCTCAGAATCAACGTGCCATCGACTTGGCTCACCTTGTCGAGAGTGTCTGGGCCTACGCTCGTGCAGAATGCCAAGTGGTGCCGCGATCGACATGCCAGGGTCGAAGGACCCGACCAGACTGGACTGCAGCCACTGAAGCTCTGACGGTGGCAGACACAGGTCCAAGAGTGGTGCAGTGGCAGTTGACACCCATCAGAACAACTTCCACCTCACCTGCGACGAAGCTCCGTTCCTCCAGGCTCAGAAAGTCATCGTCCCAAAGGAGGCGATCGCCCTGCAGTTCCACGAGCCAAAGGATGAGCAGAAGGCCTTGGTCGTTCCTCCTGTTCTTGGCGGACCAGCGGCGATTCCAGCTGATCAGGTCTCGGGTCAGTTGAGGGCATTGACTGGGCCCTCCAATGCTCCTTTGCCAGTGGCTCCACCCAGCGATGGGCCGATCTCGGTGACAGAGGCTGGACAAGCTCCACAAGCATCTGCTCCAGGCGGAGGAGTGGTGCACGTCCACCGTCGGTCCTTGGATGCTCGAAGGGGTGAGTCACTCGCAGATGCAGCAGTGACCCCACTGGATCAAGTCAGGGCAGTTCAAGGATCCTCTGGCGGTGGCTCCACGTCGTCAGTACCCCGCTCGTTTGGTCCTGAGCCGGTGGTGGAAGAAGTGGACGAATGCTGAAGAGGTCCTTGATCGTTATGACGTTCCAGTTCCTGCCAGTAGCGCAGGGTGTAATAGCTCAAGTAGCCACAGATCTTGACTGGATGCTCCAGGTCGCAACGCGTGAAAAAGGTGAAGTGCGGGTGAGCTTGAAGCGTCTTGAAGTTGGCATCTCACCAGCCCTCCTTTTTCATTTTGTGATTGGCTCACCCTGATTGCCCTGTTTGAGTGTTGATTGCTCTCTTTGGGCTCAGGCGGCGTCCTCAGTCGTTCTGGGGACCCCAGAGCGTGCGTGAGTCACGAGAGACAGACTTGATCGTCAGTCATCGGATTCTGCAGCTCTTGTGGGGTTTAATAAGGTTATTTCAATAGCTCGTATGGATTTTGCTGGGTCATAGTTGGGGGTCAGTTGTCTGGGTCCACGCTCGTGAGCCTGTGGTGTGTTCTGAGTGGTGGGTCTTTTATTTTGATCTGGCATGAGCTTTGTGAGACATGCTCAAAACATGAGTGGTCTTCAGGTTCTGTTCAGTTACAATTTTCCCCCTCCTCAATGTTCACGCATGAGTTGAGTCGCTCGACATTGGCACAAGTTTGATCGCTGAGGTGTGGCCCCCCAGTTTGGGTTGTGGGAGCTCAGAGGGGCCGTGAGCCGGTTTTGACAGACCCGTGTTGGGGTCAGCCAACCGGTTCTGGTTCCCTTTTGATTTGCTTTGCTCTTGTTAATGGTTATATGCTGTATAGCTCTGCATTAATTATATATCGGCGAGGCTCCTTAGGCACAAGGTGAGGTCTTTTCTTTACACTTCACATGTGCCCCTCACTGGGCTCACAGGGGGATCATGAGCTGTGAGCGACTGTTTCAGGTTCATGGGTCAGTCATCCAGTTCTGGTTCTTTCTGTGTTGCTCTTGTTAATGGTTATATGACATTACTTTGGACTCATGCATTATATATACCGATTTGCTGAGGCTCCTTAGGTTGAAGGCGTTTGCTCTTCCTCATGGGTTGTGCTGGAGTTCAACCATGGCTCAAAGCCCGGAAAGATGGGCGAGTAAGATCCTTTCATTGCCAGTGTTCGACGATGTGTTTGCCAAGGCTGTTCAAGGGTCTCCCTTTGCCAATTTGGCCTTCGTCGCGGCGATGGAGGTCGGATCAGCACATGAGTTCGTAGAGAAAGTGGTTGAATGGGCTCCCAAGTTGGATGAAGCCATCAGAGACGACCTGGTTCGCTCGACTTTTATGCTGGAGCAGTTTTGGTCGTTGGCCTGTTCAGTGGAACGGGCGTTCTTTGAATCTACGGCCCACCAGCTCGGTTTTGGGTTGTGTGAGGCCCCGGCTCCAATTAGCTCGGCCACGGCTAGAGCTCGTAGGGCTGACGCAATCAAAGCTCTCACTTGGAAGCCGGTCAATCCACCAAGGAAGTTTTTGAAGGCTAGCCCCGAGGCTCCCTCGGCCACGCCGCTGCTAGATCAAGAGAATGCAGCACGATGGAAGTGGGCAGCCAGACTCGAAGAGATTGGGCGAAAGGCAGGCACATTTTCAAAGCTGTTGCTCGACACGGCGAACGAGAAGGGCTTGTCTCACGCAGAAGTTGCTCGCCTGCGGCAGCTCGTCCTATCATCAGGGGCCGCAAGGACAATGGCAACTCATGTCGCCAACTGGGAGCGGTTTGCAGAATGGGGAGAGGCCAAAGGGAACGAAGTTTTTCCTTTGACTAGTGCCACGCTCATCCAATATGCTCTACATTTAGATAATCGTGAGTGTGGTCCCTCTGTAATCCCCACTTTTAGGACTTCTGTTAAATGGGTAACTGCTAAGCTCGCTATTGAGTGCCCTGATATTGATCATCAAGGGTTGCTGGCGATCCAAGTGGATGTGATCAGCAAGCGGGCCCGCACTCTGAAGGAGGCGATTCCCATTCCAACACAGGTCGTCAGATCTATGGAGCTCTTTGTGGTGGATGAGCAGGAACCTGAGCCCATCAGGCTGTTCACATGGTGGTGGCTATAATGGTGTTTGCATCCTTGCGGTTCGACGATGCCATGCATGTTCGGCCCGACGAGCTCGTCATGAATGAGGAAGGCCTGTTTGGCGTGGCCTGGCAAACCAAGGTGGAGCGCAAGAGGCGTGGTACCAAGTTCGTGGTGCCGCACATGGGTTTTTCTGGCTCAGATTGGTTGCGGCCCGGCTGGCAGCTCTTGCAGAACGAGCACTTTGGGCTCGCTCGAGACTTCTGGATGCGAGACCTCAACTCTAGGGAAGCATTTCGGGAGGCGCCGGCTCAATACCAGCGGTCCGTCCAGTGGCTCAAGTTCATTGGCCGGTACGCTCTGAACCATTATCATGACGGGCCGGACACCGAGTTCAAAGAACTAGGAGATACGGTCAACAACCTGACTGCCCACTCCGCCAGGGTCACAATGCTCGATGCTGCGGTTCATGCGTAGCACCGAGGAGATCGGGCTCCAGGCCAGCTGGAAGAATCCAGGGCCGCTCGTCTTGAAGTACACCCGCAACCGTACCGGCCAAGATGGTCCAGCAGCTCGTGAAAGAAATATGCTCGTCCATGAACATCCGGTGGAAGTTGCAGACGACGTGGAGCTCGACACTGAAGATCCGGCAGCTCTTGACCAGTTCCAGTTCTACGTCAAGACCAATGGCTCAGCAATTCACTGTGTTGCAGAAGGTGACGATCGGACGATCGCATGTGGGCGGCTCAAAGTGGAGGAGTGCACGCACGTGGGCTCTTGCCTTCCTGACCTCTCCATGCTCTGCAAACACTGCTCTCGTGCGCGACCTGAAATTGCTGACGCTCAGGGTCGCAGACTTGGATGCCTCTTGGCTGCACCTATTCGTGGGGTTTGATGCTCTGTACCGAGCTCTGACACACACTGCTCCGCTGGTTTTTGCTTTTTTCCCTCTTAATTTTGTTTAGGGCAGCTCTTTGCTCAGCAATCGCTCGCTCAGCACTCGGGCGGCAATGGTGGACCACACCGTCTATGAGGAGAACAAGACCAGACTTGCCGCTCCGACAAGTTTTTGGTCGGCAGAGGGTGTCACAGGAACTATGCAAGCTCGCAGCAAATTCAGGCTTGCTCACGGTTGAGACCTTTGCTATGCTCGGCGATGACATTGCTGCAGTGAAGAACACGCTCAAAAGTTTGGTGCCAGATGTGACGGCGTTTGGTGCGGATGGCCCGGCTCAGGAGCTAGCGCTCACCAGCCTCGCCGCAGTCTGGAAAACCTGTAGTACGATGCAGGATCATTTTGCAAATCGGCGAGCAAAGATGGAAGAAGATCCATCCAAAGTTCCAGAGATCCCTGGGGAAGATCATGCTGAATTCAGGGAGACGTTCGTCTCGCGCCATCCTGATGTTCTGCTGCCTCCTCATCGGGAACCACATCGCAAGTTTCGTGGAGCGAGTTCAGCGCGACTATCTCGTCCACGGCTTCGTTCACTTCTACGAGGTCGGTGAAATTCGGACCCGCAATGAGAACATTGCTCAGAAGTCCGGCTTGACCAAGAACGCCGAAGATCTGCTCCGGGTGGTCATGATTGACCAACCGTCAGCAGCAAGCTCCGAAGCCCAGGTCATGGATAAGCTCCACGCATTTTTCATCACCTTGGAGTACCTCAACATTTGTGAGTTCTCTGTGGATGCGGGTCCCCTCAAGTATTTGGCCCAGCTCGAGGAGTGGAGGCATGAAAATCGAGGACTTGCTCTGCTGCTGACCGTGGATACGCTCATCCGCAAGAAAGTTCACAGAGTCAGTTCAGACCAGCGCAAGAAGTTCACCAGCTTTTCTGCCGCTTTGGTAGAGGTGTTGGACAATAACAAGCAGCTCTGGAATGACGCTCGCTCCAGTGCTGAACTGGACAAATAGAAGCAGGCTACGCTGACACCGGCGCAAGTGACACCCAGGAAGCGCCCTCGGTCAGTGTCGCCAGAGCCGAAGTCAACGGCCAAAGCCGGGAAGAACAAGGCTCGGAGGGAGCGCCAGAAAGCGCAGCTCCAGAAGGCCAAAGCTCTTACAAGTTCTTCTGCCAAAGAGGCGGCTCGCAAGCCTGCTCGAGATGAACGTGTCCCAGCCAAGGAGTGGCAGAAGATCACATCGTTCAAGTCTCCGGGTGGGAGGCGCTGTCCTTTCTACAACAGCTCTTTGGGGTGCCGCTTTGGTGATCAATGCAAGCTCAAGCACAGCTGCGCCGAGTGTGGTCAGAACCACCCTTGGCATGGCAATCACTGATCGCCTGCAGTGGTACCCCAGGTGGAGCTGGATCCTCCACCTGGGGACTGGGCGGCTGCTGCCAGCCCCACGAATGATGATCCGGCGGTCGCTCCGCCCGATCGGAGAGCGGTGCTGGGTTCCCAGCGGCTTTGGCCTGATTGGGATTCAATTTTGCATGATCGTAGCTTGTTGAAGGATGGCCCTTTCTTTTTTGGAGCTCTTTTGAAGCAGTTCACCTCGCGGGAGTGTGCCGGTGCTGCCTCCGGTCGACATCGTACCGTCCCCGTTGGTGACTACACCTCGTGATCTGGTGGACTACGTGGTCTGGCGGCAGCTCTTGGAGATTTTGGCCCTCGGAATAGTTTTCTTTTTGCACCGCGGCACTCCGTGCAATACTTTCACCTCAGCTCGCAAAGAAGATGGGGGCCCTCCTCCTCTACGCTCTGCGGCCCAGCCGCTCGGGCTGGATGCTCTGAGTCTGGACAACGCCAACCGCCAACCTGGTCTTTTTGGGCAATTTTTTTTTTTGGAGCGTGCAGTTCAAGCTTGCTTTTTGGTCTTCAGTTTGGGCGGAGACTTCCTGATCGAGAACCCCCTGCTCAGCTTGCTGTGGTTGACACCTCAATTGACCTTGCTCGTACGCCGTACGCGTGCTTTTCACTTGGACTGCGATCAATGTGCATTTGGCACACCGTGGAAGAAGCCGACCAAGTTTGTCTGCTCCTCGGGACTGCTGCCGTTCTTTGTCCAGGTGGCCATGTTCACAAGAAACTCAAGGGCAAGCTTTGGGATCCACAGCAGGAGCGCATGGTGTTCAAGACCAAACAGGCTCAAGAGTATCCATTGGCTTTGTGCGCAACGATTGCCCAACAGATCTTTGCTCACCAGTTCTCGCATTTCCACAAGACTTTTCAGTTACGTGTTCCTGGCGCCGATCGGAAGCGTGCTCTCCACTCGGCAAAGGAGTGGGCTGGCCATCGGCAAGCCGAGACAGCCTCCAAAGCTCTGGCCGCCGGCTACCAGTTGAAGCGGGGGGCTGCCAAGCCTTTGTTCGAAATCGAACCTGAACCTGGTGAAGCCGTGCAGTTTGCTCTCCAACTGGTGCATCCGTTCTCGAGGCCAGCCCCTGCCGGCAGTGCTCGAAGAGGCCATCCATTGGGCGGCCACTGCCCCACAGAAAGTGCTCAAGTTTACGGCGGCTGCCTTGCAATTTTGGCGCAGCAGGACATTGGCTCTCTTGCCTACCTCCATTCATTGGATCACGCAACAACCTGATGCTGCTCTACGGAGGCTCCTGCTCGGCACTTCTGATCCCCGCCAAGCAAGGCTGGGCGACGTGTGCCATGTGGCTCTGTACAAAGAGATGCTCGAGGCAGCCCGGTCAGAAGACCGCTCTTTGCACAAATTTTTGCTCGAAGGTTTTCCCATTGTTGGTCCTATTCAACCATCCGGCCGCTGGCCCCCATTTGAGAAGGCTCAGAAGGTGCTCGCGGTCCAACATGCTCTGAATGGGGCCTGGGAGATTCGGGCGAACAGAGTGCGCGGAGTTCCAGTGACTGACAATTTGCTCAAGATTTGGGAGGCCATCTTGGAAGATGTGGCAGAAGGCTCTTGCTTGGGCCCCTTCGACAGCGAAGAAGACGTCACTGAGCTCTTAGGTCAAGATGATTGGATCCCTACGCAGAGGTTTGAAGTGGTCCAAAAGAATAAAGTGCGTGGGTGCGACAGCGCCACTACGAACTTGATCAACCAGATCACAGAGATCACGGAGAAGCTCCAGCTGCCATCGACGGATTCAAATGTGGCAGCCCTGCGGAAGCTCCAAACAGCAGCTCCTGATGCAGAATTGTTCGGTTGGGTGCTCGACGAGAGGAAGGCCTATAGGCAAGTGGCCATTCGGCCGGATCACCGGAAATTTTCTGTGATCTGCCTGAAGTCTCCAAGAGTTGGCAACCCGGCTTTCTTTGTCATGGTAGGACACTCGTTCGGTTTGGTGTCTGCTGTGTACAACTACAACAGGCGATCTGCTGCGATCAACAAGATCTTGGTTTCTTTGTTCAAGCTTGTGGCGTTTAGCTTCTATGATGACAATTAAATATGGCTTTGAACCGGCCGTGTCGGCGGCTAGCGCTCGTGAAGTTGCTGAAAGTGTTCACTGGTGGCTAGGTGCAAAGTTCGACCAGAAGAAACTTCAGCTCTCCTCAGATCCAACGATCTTAGGTGTGACCTACAACCTGCGGCTCATGCAGTTGGAAATCAAGGAGGACAGGCGACGCGATCTGCTCGAAGAAATTGATTGCATCTTGCAGTCTGGATTTTTGGATCCAGGCTCAGCAGGCAAGCTGAAGGGGAAGCTCATGTTTGGCGCCTCCCAGCTTTGGGGGAAGTTTCCCCCATCCTCTGAGTTCAAGCTCGATCCACAGCTCGTTGAGTCCCTAGCTCAGTGGAGAAAGTTGATCGACTGCTCTCCGCCTAGACCGATAGATTTAGCTCGTGAGCGCCTGACAGACGTGGTGATCTTCACGGACGGCTTCACCCCGGACCCGAGGTCTTCGGACCGGAGTCCTGATCGGATTGGTGATGTTATGTTTGATCGAAGAGTGCGGAGCCCGAGGCAGTTCACTGCAGTGGTGCCTCCGAAGATCAGTAATCGATGGCTGAAAAGAGCGACGCAGATCATGCCCATTGAGATGCTTGCTCCTGTCCTTGCTCCTGTCGTTGCTCTCACTACATTTGCTGACCGGCTCTTCGAAGCAGATCTGATCCTGCTCATCGACTCAGAGTCTGTCGAAGCTGCGCTCGTGAAAGGATATTCGAGCCGTGAAGATATGTGTGAAATCATCACTTTGTTTTGGGAAATTGCGCTCGCGCTGAGAGTTAGAGTTTTCATTGATCAAATTTCAACAGACGCCAATCCAGCTGATTGGCCATCCAGAAACAAGTTATGGTTAGGGCTAGGGGAAGCAGCTGGTTGGTCCACAGTTAAGCCTGTGTGGCCATCGTCGCTCGACACGGGCGTTGAAGGGCCCGGGTAGAATCTGTTTTGCTCCTTTTTGGCATATAAGAGTTTAGGTCTGACAGCTGGCTCCGACCTGTCAATTTGCGTTTGAGCTCAGTGCCTGTCGCCGCTCTCGTTTGCTTGGAGACGGATCTTGCAGCCCATCATGTTTGTGATCAACCATTGAGACTGCTCGACCCCATGCCTTGTGCAGTCCAAAAAGTGCTGTGCTCACGTGCGACTGCAGGCATGTTTATCATTTGCATCATTGTCAATGCACATGTCCATGTGTCAGTGAGAATGTGTATTATCCCCCTTGATCAAGGGAAATCTCAATTGAAGAAAAATGAAGTGGGGAGCTGTGATCCCCACGAATAGTATGCTGAGAGTCGTTTGCATGTTTTCGGTGAGGTGGGTCTGGAACAAGCGAAGGACTCTGGAGTACTGTTCAACTTTCTCTGATCATATATACTCTCCCTTTCGTGGATATATCTTTTATTATTTTTATTATATATCTGGTGATCTGATATTGAGTCATGGCATGCACGATCGTTTGAATGCTCAGGACGATTGGCCTTTGCCATTTTGGACTCAAGAGAGTGATCACTTCCAGCCTGAAGGATTTTTCTCCCGCCCAGCCCACCCCTGAATGGGGGTGGGTTGGGAAGTCTCCACAACCCACCAAATTTTGCTTCTGAAGTGGATGGAGATATACAGTCCTGTTTCAGATGGGTAGAAGAATCTGTTTTGCTCCTTTTTGGCATATAAGAGTTTAGGTCTGACAGCTGGCTCCGACCTGTCAATTTGCGTTTGAGCTCAGTGCCTGTCGCCGCTCTCGTTTGCTTGGAGACAGATCTTGCAGCCCATCATGTTTGTGATCAACCATTGAGACTGCTCGACCCCATGCCTTGTGCAGTCCAAAAAGTGCTGTGCTCACGTGCGACTGCAGGCATGTTTATCATTTGCATCATTGTCAATGCACATGTCCATGTGTCAGTGAGAATGTGTATTATCCCCCTTGATCAAGGGAAATCTCAATTGAAGAAAAATGAAGTGGGGAGCTGTGATCCCCACGAATAGTATGCTGAGAGTCGCTCACACACAACTTGTCCTCACCAACTTGTCCTCACACAACTTGCTCACACACAACGTGTCCTCACACATCTTGTCATCACACAACTTGCACTCACACAACTTGTCCTCACACAAGTTGTCCTCACACAACTTGCTCACACACAACTTGCTCACACACAACTTGTCCTCACACAACTTGCTCTCCGGCAGGCGTCGCACTTTGAGACATCAACCTTCGTTTCACGTGGCAGACGTGGCACTTGGTGACGTGGACCTTCACTTTGCGTGGCAGGCGTGGCACTTGGCGACATGTATCTTCACTTTGCGTGGCAGGCGTGGCGCTTATGGCACTGGGCTGGCTCTGGTGGCGCGCTTGGGTCTCAGTTGACGCCGTGGACGCCGCGCCTCTTGGCGTGGCAGGCGTGGCACTTGGTGACATGGACCTTCACTTTGCGTGGCAGGCGTGGCACTTGGTGACATGGATCGTCACTTTGCGTGGCAGGCGTTTATGGCATTGGGCTGGCTCTGGTGGCGCGCTTGGGTCTCAGTTGACACTGTGGACGCCGCGACTTTTTGTGGCACTTGGTGACATGGATCGTCACTTTCCGTGGCAGGCGTGGCACTTATGGCACTGGGCTGGCTCTGTACTTGGCGACATCGAGCGTCGATTCTGCGTGGCAGGCGTGGCACTTATGGCACTTGGGCTGGCTCTGGTGGCGTGCTTGGGTCCCAGTTGACGCCGTGGACGCCGCGGCTGTTTGCGTGGCAGGCGTGGTACTTGGTGACATGGACTTGCACTTTGCGTGGCAGGCGTGGCACTTATGGCTTGCGTGGCAGGCGTGGTACTTGGTGACATGGACTTGCACTTTGTGCAGTCAGACAGCAATGACACCTTTCCTTAGTTTCGCGGCACTACGTATCGCTGGCATGTACCTCTGCTGTGGCATTTGCACTTTTGCACACGCTGTGACATGTTTGTGTTTGGATGAGATTTTAGTACCTGCGTCATCTGTAGCCATTTGACAGCATGCAGTCAGACAGCAATGGCACGTTTCCTTGCTTTCGCGGCACTATGTATTGCTGGCAGGTACCTCTGCTCCATCACTTGCACTTTTGCATACACTGTGACATGTTTGTGTTGGATGAGATTTGACAGCATGCAGTCAGACAGCAATTACGCGTTTCCTTGATCGTATTGTTGCGGTTGACTCTACTCATGTGTTTCTGTTATCAGTCTGTGACTCTGAAACTGACAGTCTTCATGATGATCTCGCCTTTGTTTCACAGGAATGACAGCCCGTTGTTTTGTGCTGTTCTCTGCCAGGTACCAACTTCATCGCGCAGATGTTGCCGTTGCCGAGCATCGTGTTCGGAAGCAGTAGTCAAAGCTGCTATGATTCCCCACATCTTTGTGTGGGGTTCTTGTTTTTGGTTCTGTATCCCGCCGCCTCCTTCCGCCTCCGCCTCCCTCCGCCTCCTCCCGCCAGTTTGTTCACACACAACTTGCTCACACACGCCTTGTCCTCACCAACTTGTCCTCACACAACTTGCTCACACACACACCTTGTCCTCACCAACTTGTTCACACCAGTTTGTTCACACACAACTTGCTGCTCACACACACCTTGTCCTCACCAACTTGTCCTCACACAACTTGCTCACACACAACTTGTCCTCACACATCTTGTCCTCACACATCTTGTCATCACACATCTTGTCATCACTTGCCCCCACACAACTTGTTCTCACACAACTTGTCCACACACAACTTGTTATGGAGAACAACGCCTTAGTGCGAAGATCTAGCGCCTGAACGCGGCCATGTGATCGACAGAAAAGATCACGTTCATGACAGATCAGAACAGTTTCTGTGCAATCGGTTGCCGCTATTCTTGTGCTGCCTGCTTTCAGTGGGAGCTACATTACTGCACTTGCCGCAGTCGCTTGGCAGGTCCAGCATGCTGCGATGTCGTGATCTTTGCTAGTGCTGTTGCAGTTTGACGGTGCTCATGTGTCTGTTATCAATCTGTGCTTCTGAAACTAACAGTCTTCATGACAGCCGGTGTTTTCTGTTGTTCTGCCAGGTACCGACTTCATCGCGCAGATGCTGCTGTTCCTAAGCATCATGTTCGGAAGCAGTGGTCGCATCTTTCTGTAGCCAGGTACCTTCCCGTCTTCATCACGCCCATGCCGCCGCTCCGCTCGTGCGAAAAATAAGCGTGCTTGCGGACCTACCATACACACATACATAAATACATACATATAACTACATATATACATACATCCATCCATCCATCCATCCATCCATGCATCCATGCATCCATCCATACATACATCCAACACAACTTGTCCATACACAACTTACTCACATTTACTCTTCCACACACAACTTACTCCACACCAATCCTTCACCATCTCTTTTCTCTTTCCTGCTTTCCCCATGCCATCTTTACCTTTCTTTTGCTGCTTGTTGGAAGAAGTTGACATGTGGGGTTATCCGGTCCTTTAATTTGAATAGAAAAGCCGTCTGTACATGGTCATTTTCCATAGCAATGCTCATTTTCTGCGCAGGGTAAACCCTGTTTTCGGGTCTGAAAAAAGATCGGCGTGGCACCGTACCGATTCGGTTTGGTTCGGTTCATATTTCCGGTTCACCAACCGCAACTGCAACCGGAACCACAACCACAAGCACAGCAACAACCACAAACCAACAAGAACCACAAGAAACACGCACGATAACCACAACCACAGCAGCAAAGGATCGCAAGAACAACAAAATGCTGCAAATATCGCGCCAAGCGACAGTTTGAAGTTCCAAACTGCAAAATCCAACGTCCATGTTCCAAAATATCGCAAATACCGCGCAAAACGAGAAACCAAATGTCAAAAACAGTGGAAACACCTCGCAAAATGAGAGATGGAACATCCAATGCGTTGCAAGTAGCAAGGAAAAACAGGGGGAAGAGGAAACCCAAAAAGTCTCCCAAACTGCAAAGAGTTCCTGAGACATTTTGTCAGGTAAT